TCGGCGTGAACTTGGATGGCCATCGACTATTCTCGGCGAGACCTTCACCCCGCAGCGCCTCCGCGAGCGACCACCACGAGAACGCGCAGCAACGCCGCTGTGAGCCATCCGACGCGCATGCCCGACAAGATCGTACCCTTCATCATCGAACAATAGCACCTCGCCGCCTCTGTTCCTTTCATACCAGCGCCATCATCGTAGGCCATCTCAGTAAAACTGCAGCAGACCACCATCATCAACCTCCAGCAGAAATCCGGTCACCATCATCACCCTCCGTCAGGTCTCGTCGAGTCCAGTCGGAGTGCCGAACATGGCCGTCGAGTCCCGTCGAGTTCCGTCAGAGTGTCAAACGTAGCCGGCAAGCCCCGTCATCCAATCGCTGGCCCCCCTCTCGCGAAGAACCAGATCCGAAGGCCCGCTTCCGGCAACCAGCGAGTCATCGGCGTTCAGACCTCCACGAGCAGACCCCGACTTCCGAAGACCACCTCCGCTGTGAACCCGCCCTGCTCCACTGTGAACCAGCAGCAACGCAGCGAGCCCGACGCCGCGACCTTCTTCGCTGCATCACTTACGTCGCGAGTACAATCACAGGCCTTCGTCCATCGCCTCCGTTCGCGTTCGCATTTCGTTGGTCGCACATCGTTGCTCAGGCCACCGCAGCAACCCTAGCTGTCAAGGACTAGCCCCGTCAGCCGCTGCCCCTCCTCCGCGAGACGAAACGCAGTCATCGAGCCCGTTGACCCGTCGTGCCGTTCCTTTCGTTGCCTGTTTCGTAACCCCGTCCCGAGAACGGTACCCGGGCTAACCCTCCACTTATTTAGTTTGCTCCTATATGTGTTTAGGTGCTCGTATATGTGTTATTATTGCTGAACGCTTGAGTTTCGAACTAATTTGTGCCTTAGATAAATAATTGTGAATTATTGATATATTTATTTGCTAATTTGGATGAAAAGTGTGTGGGGTTCGCCTGTACCGTACGGGCTATACGCAGCGGAATTTAAAATTTTTCAAAACAAGTATTTAACACTTAAATACTTAACCCGTATATACATCTGGCGAATTAACAAATCGTCATCTTTAAAAACATGTAATAATACAAATTTTGATTTGTTACAAGTAATATCAAATATTACCTAATATGTCTTGAACTCCTTCAAAGACGACGGTAGTTGAGGAAATCGGTTCCCGGTTGAACAACGATCGCTTCGGGTTGCTCGCTTTAGGAATCCACGTGTCTTCCCTCTAAGAGTATCCACCGCTTGTATTCCAACACCGAGATGATCCTTCGCTAGTAGGAACTCACTCGATTTTATAACTTAGTATAGAAATATATATATTATGAGGAGAAAATTACAGAAACTTTTCTTGATATTACAACACTTGAAAAACTAACTCTTTAGCTCTCAACACTTTGTAAAATTGTTAACACAAATTGTAGCAAATATGAACATCAACCATGCCCATATTTATACTAAATTTTTAGTAATAAAATATATATATGTCTTGTATAACTTTTACAAGAAATGATAAATAAATTCAACCATAACAATTTATGACTTGAATAATTTTCACAAGACATGTTAAAATATCTTGTATCATTTCTACAAGTTATTACAACAATATAATAATGTGCAAGATCCTATATTTCTCATTATTATATTATTATTATTATTTAATTCTTAATCAATATTAAAAATCAATAATAATAATAAACAAATAATTTTAAACTCTTTTAAAATCATTTGTAAACATATATATATCATATTAATATTCTCCTCATATAATAATCATATTATTATTTGGATTTGAATTTTAAAATCCTATTTCAAAATCCAACTATTAATTTAGTAATTACACTAATCACTAAATTAATATCCAAAATATAATTAATCAATTCAATTGATTAATTTAATATATTTCTTTAATTGACATCTAATCAAAATTAGATTTTGTCAATTAATTCTAACTCTTTAGAAATACTAATATTGGTCTTCATACAAACATTGTTGTGACCTTTTAGGTTCACAATTAATACTAGTAGTGGGTTTACAACTCTTTGTAATTTGAGTTAATCATATTAACTCTTATTCTTGAATTAACCCCTTAATTCAAGAACCCACATATCATGGGAACACCTAGCAAGTAGCATGAATCTAGTGTTACGTGAATAGCGAGTAAACCTATTTCGATTACAAGTCCATACATGTAAAATCCTTTCGACATCCAATTTTCCGATTAAATCTTGGGTATGATATTGTCGAAACCCAAATTGATTTAATAACTATGATTCCATTTCAAGTTTAGTAATTCGTGTATGAATCTCTATTCATCCTGCCTTGGCCAAGGACTTTGAATTACCAACTATGAAACACATAGGAAATTCATTTATCTTCATAAGTGTCGAATCCTTTGTTGGCTACTGACAAACTTCCATACATATTAATGTAATACCCAAAATATCCCTTTATATGATTGTGCTAGCAACCAAAAGGATAAATCAAAGTAGAACACAATATGCACAAAGTTACCATCGTGCCTCAAGTCTAAGGATTAGTCATGTACTATTGTAACATGAAAATACTTATTCGACAAGACAAATCTTTCATTAAGAATTTTCATACGGTCATGTTCAGTGAACTTGTTCTCTAACAAGCACTCACATATATGTGCTTGCGTCCCACGCTAATGTTGATGGAATGCAACATTCTTTTTCCAACAAGCGTACATACTATGTGCAAGTCTTTTTTCGGATTATTCGATATCCCATCTCGAAACATCCAACGACTTGGAACTGTATTTAAAATCGCAACTTTCGAGGTATGTTCCATGATCACCATCTCTATGCGCAACCATACCTTATAGCCATAAGTGATTTAGGGATTTTATCTTAAGTGCGATTATAGGATAAAAGTTTACTCTTAAGATAATGTAATGCCTTATTTACAATATAATTCCAATAGATAGTATTTACAAGTAGAATACATCCAATCCGATTGGAATGCCAGGTATCCAACTCTAACAATCTCCCACTTGCCCTAGTTCCAATCACTCATGTATTTAAGACCCATCTTCTCAAGATGTCCTTCAAACACTTTCTGTGATAAGGGCTTAGTTAAGGGGTCTGCAATATTTTCTGCTGAGTCGACTCGCTCCATCACGACATCGCCTCTACCAATGATTTCTCTAATCAAATGGTATC